TTACTATATACATACCTATGTAGGTATATTCTCTGTATCTCAATTATAATACATCTAGCAATATTATTTCTGTGGACAGCCTATTTTGAATATATCTTTCTATGAATTTGGCAGAAACAAATGAATTCTGAATTGAAAGTAACGGTATTTTTCCTAATTCTCTTCACTGCATTCTATTCCGTATACACATTTTGGGATTTTATTTATTATTATTATTATTTTTTTTTGTAGCACAACGGAAAAAGTCCGTTGCATTTGGAATGCAGCACTACTATTTGCATGAGCACAACTGAATGCACATACACACACTCACGCACACACGGCTATGTGTATGTATGTATGTACATAATGGTACCTGGCCCGCTCTGCTCGATTGCATTTGTGGTGTGGAAAGAAAAAAACAATTTCTTTTCGTGAGTAGCGCAGCGCAGGACTGCAACTGGGTCTGGGTCTGGGGCTGAGGCTGGAGCTGGAGCTGGAGCTGGGGCTTGGGCGTCAGTTACTAATTCCAGCCCCGCCGCCTCGGCAACATAATTCTTGTCGCAGCCACCTGCCGGGCTGCTGGCAGGAGAAACGGCTTGAAATTTCAATTAAAAACTGTAAACTTTTGCCGGCGCTGCTGCGGAGGGGCAGTGGCGTTATTTTTGAAAAGTTATTCATAACATTGAATCAATGGTAAAAGAGCAAAGTCCAAGTCCGATGCGAAAGAGCATTGTGCATGGAAATTCAACAACGGCCACAGGGCATTTTATCAGCACTCGCCACCGTTGACTTGTATTAGGCTGGCCAGCAGGTGGAGGCAGAGGTGGCGGTGCAGCGCGGGGTGGGTGGGCAGCGTTTGGCCCACTGACAGCGATGAGCAGAATTGCTGCTGACGGAACCCGAAGCCAAACAGGCGCCAACATTATCGCCAGCCAACATTATTCATTATCGTTTGCCCCGCCAGGCGGGCGGGCCATCGCATTGCAAGTTGGTGACATTGCAACAGATACTTGTGCGAGCTCCTGGTGCTGCAGCAGCAGCAGCAGAAGCAGCAGCTGCTTCAAGTTATGCAATGCCTCTTCCTGGCCGCAGCGGGCATTCAAGCTGCACAATGGACCCTCTCCCAGCCACCCGCCGCCCGGGGCCGGCCACCTTTGCCCGCAGCCCAGGGCCTGCCTTTGAGCCACATAAAAGTCGGGCTCCAGACAAAGTTTTGCACTGTCAAATAAAAACGAAACAGCCAACAGGAAAAGCAATACCAACGACGTCGCCGTCGACTGCCGGCGCACAAAAACTTCCGTTTCATCTTGTCCGCCAGCAATTGCTGGCGCCCGTTGCGCGCCGTGTCGACCCGAGCTGGTCATCGGAATGGAAGCACTGCTCCCGCTATCAGGCCAACCAAACGGGCATACGAATTATCGATATCGATAGATGGAGATGTGAAAGAATTCCAAACTCCACAGATGACTTATCAAAGCGAACCATTAACAGTTGAGCAGGCAAGAAGTGCGTGGGCTCACATCCTAAAAAAAACTATGAATGGTGTCAAAGGGATATACTCGATACTAGGTACTCGATACCATCCTTGATATATGTATATGTATATGTAGGTTCATTTAAAAGAAATTCTAATACAAGCATTTCAGCTTTAGTCCATGTGAATGGGCTATCTTGCCTAGAAGTTATTGCTATACCAAAATTGTATGGTATATTTTTTAAACTCTTTCTATTCGCGCTCTTAAGTTTCGTTGCTCTCACATCCGCAACTGTGATTCTGATTGCTACTCGCATTGTTGCTGTTGTGACAATGCAACTGCCGCATTTATGTCTCAAGTCTTGCAGGCGAACATATCACACACCCACACACCCACACACCCGCACACCCGCACACACACCCACTGACCAGCACGTCGCCGCCTTGAAACCTGCATCCTCCGTATCCTGCCGTAACCCGCTTAGGGCTCACGCAGACAGTTGCTTTCGGTTGGCATCAGATTTTCATGGCTCGCACAGTTTGAGCTTTGCATATATTTTGCATTTATGCAAAGACGCTGGGCTCCGTCGCGTCTGTGTGCTCAGTCAGCTCCCCTTGCTGCTCATGTTGCTGCTCCCCGTCCCCTCCCGCAATACAGCATACAAAAAACGAAATGGAGCGCAGCTTGTTGCCCAAATAAAAGGCAAAGCAGCTGCTACGCCCACTGCAAAAGTTTAAACTTTTGTGTTCTATGCGGTTTTTCTGTGACATTTTTGTAGATTTAGCTTTGGGCCTGTTGAACGAGTCGACCAAACTGTGGAGACCTAACCATCCGCCCACAACCCAGCCACGCCCAGCATCATCATCCAGTTTGTTCTGTCTGCTCTGCAGTCAGCTTTATGAAATTTTCGGCTGGCAATCGCCTTTACTTTTTGTATTTTTATTTATATCTTGAGGTCGCTGCTCGCCGAGCATTTGTGGTTAATGAATACTTCTTGAGGGCTAAACGAAAACTTACATTTTTAACAGTTTGCGCCATTTGCAAAGCCGTAGATCTTACAGCAATTGAAATAAGTTTGATGGCTGACCATAATACTCCTGGCTTGACTTGCAATAAATGAAACGCTTTGAGGTTTAGGCATAAATAAGAAACAAGAGTGCTTCAGGCGGGTCTGCTCGACTAGGAGATACCTATGTAGAATTCTTAGGTTAGTTCATAAATACATAACATACATACAGTTGGCATATGAGATACGAGATCACAGCGTTCATATGGACTGACAGATGGACAGAGGAACGGACAGACAGACGGGTGAATGAAGACAAAGACTGGCAGACGGACGAGCGGAAACGTGGAGTGGCGGAGAGACATACGGCTATAAAGACGAACAGACGGATAGATGGATGGACGGACAGAAAGGCGGGCGGTAAAGTGAAGGGACGGAGGGATAGATGTACTTACGGCTGTGAAGATGGACAGAAAGCCGGATAAGTGGAGGGACGAATGGATAGATGGGCATACGGATGTAAGAAAGGTCAGACGGACGGATAGAGAAATACATGAAAGCACTGTCGGATAGATGGACGGAGGGGCGGTTACGTGAATATACGGTTATAAGGACGGACACACGGACGGATGGACAAATATCTGGGTAACACTTAAAATCAACTAAGTGCATCAAATATTAAATAACAATTTGTTAAATAAATTGTAAATTATGTAGATAACAAAATCTGTTTGTCAGCTGTGTATCATAGAAAATCTTTTCTTATTGTCTAAAAATCGTTCGCTATTTATCAATTTCTGTAATATATTGACTTCGCTGTGCCAAATAAACCAAAGCGTTATCATCAACTAGTTATATAGCTCTGTGTAGGGTATCAGCTGTAAATCAAACTTATATATGCAATAATATTATATCTTCCCAATCCAGCTCTTATACTATATATCAGCCATATCAGCAATATCTTATCAACATAGGGAAGCCTTCTCTACAATGGCAACACCAATTGCGTTTCTCTTGTTGCGCCGCATAACGACAAATGTTTATATTATTCCAGTGCACTGCCGCGGGCCGCTCTGTACAGTTCTGCTGTCAAAGAACAACTACTTGGCAAGCTTTGGGGCCGCGAGCAAGCAGCCCTTTTGACCGAATGATGGTAAATCGCTGTCCAAATTGAATATTCTGTTCGTATACCCTATGCCAAGTATCTGCAGTAGGCTATGACAAGTGAAAGCTTAAGTAGGATGATTAAAACAGATTATGGATGCTAAGGTCTCTTCTTGCCTCAATCAAGAAATGTCTTCGGTATTTATGTAATTTGTGTTAAATAAATCCAATGTACTGAGAGTAAGCTTTCTACATATAGAATTTGTATCCTTAAATCAATTGTTCTTAGCATATTATTCGCACATCCCTACTTGGACAGATCTGCAGCACGCCGCTTCTCTCTGGTCATAAGCTTAAAAGTTAACCGACAGATCGAGTTTCATATTCAAAGTGATCTTAGATCTTGAAATGCTGCTTATTTAGCTGAGATTATCGATTTGTTAATAAAAAATTCTATTAACTCAGAATATTCTTCTAACAAGTCGAATAACTGGTTTCAGTTGCTTTCTCCACTGTCTCCTGGTCTCAATTGCTTAGAATAGAATAGAAGGATTCAAAAGATTTGCTAGTCGATCGGTCTCGATTAGAGCTTTTTTACTAGTATGTATATAGAAAGCTTAATTTTATTTAGGGCTTACATTTACGAATGTTTTTCTGGTTTGCTGTTGCTATGCAGCAACTTTTATTGCAATATTGATGTAAAACTAGACTTGTTTGTAAGTACAGAAAAGATAGTTAGGTGTTAGAGACCTTGTTTCATTGTGATGTCAATTATTATATTTTGAATATGACAATATTAGACCTTTGCTTGCTTACTATAGTAATATAATTTGCCAATCAAAATTAAACAAAATCATGTGAGTTTTATTATATAAAATCCGCATTTCCATTTCCAGTTGTACTAAAGGTGGTGAAAGATCTATCCATAATAAGTTTTTGCTTTTTCAAAGGATTTGTTTGTGTTGAGCAAAGAGAATGATTGTTATGTTAATGATAGTATAAATTCAATAAAATATGTAACTGTGAGAAAAGGTTTGGCTATTGTACTAACATCTCGTAAATATATGCACTTTTATATACCTCATTTAATTATAATTATATGGGCATTATGCGATTGCTTAATTCAAAACGTGGCTGGGCTTTGCTGCTTGGCTGCTGCAACTACAACCTGATCTTTCTCGTAAGAGAACCTTGCGATCTACGCTATGTACATATATAATGGAATAAGATTGGGATCGTCTGAGCTTTGCACCTTTTACCGATCAAAGCCATTTTTCTTAATTAATCAAACGCCTAAGCTGGTTTTTTTTTTCAATTGAAAATGAGTTAGTGCAGTTGCCAATCAATGAGAGAGGGAGAGAGAAACAAATTCTGACGCCAGCCACTCGGAGGTCAGCTCCAATCGTGCTGGCTTTGAGTCGAGTGCCCAGCGCCGCTGTGAGTAGTTGATTAAGCGCAATTCAATCGCTGAGTCCAACCAAGCTCTAGTATCAGCACCGGAATCGTGGTTAACTGCAATCACCCATCGATGACGTCACATGCGCTGCTGTCGCTGACACTGCTGCTGGCGGCTGCCCAGCTGAGGGCACAGCAGATGGCAGCTAACAGCGCGGATAGTAAGTAGACCAGGCTGGGAATACGCAGTCATACAACTCTTATCCAATTCGTAGAGGTTTACTTCGGAAACTGCAATACGGCGGACTACGGCTCCGGACGTTGTGTCTACAGCAGCAATTGTGATTTCAACGATGTGAACTTGCTGAAGGCGGCTGGCAAAAGTTTTTGTCGCTCACAGCAGCGCCCTGAGTTGGTGAGTTCAGTGTCGAGAGTGACAGACAGCGGAAGCAGAAACTAGTAGCATCTATGTAATAGACATCATGAGGCTAGGTTGATATAAATTAGTCAATAGGAACTCATCAATCTACATGGACAAACGTCAATATCTGATGATGACTTTCAGTGGTAGGAAGGAAGGGAGAGAGACACGAATTCACTTGGCTGACAGCAGGAAGAAGAAACCAGTAAACGAACGAATCGGAAGAGATGATTATCAGCCGGTAGCAACAGCTACTCTATTGAAGGTTATCTAGAAACACAAAGAGTTGCCAAAACAAACTTGCAAGCTAAGCCTATACCTAATACGCGATCTATGTCTAAAGCTGGATATGATGAGCCTGTAAGGACATTGTCATCCAAGGCCATTCACACTCGACTTGCTCTATCCATTGCAGATTTGTTGTCCGCGTGAGCAAAACGGGTTGCCTTTGCTGGCGGGTCACTCGCCCAAGAATTCCTCCGCAGTGGAGCAGGGAAAGCCCTTCCCAGCTACACCCGCCACGCCCGATGCGCTGCCGAGGCACCCGCATTGCGGAACCTCATTTGCATTCAAGGTGTACGGCGGCCACGTAACGGGTCTTCTGGAGTTTCCCTGGACCACGCTACTGGAGTACACAGTGATCGCCGGCGGACAGAAGCAGCACAGCTGCGGCGCCTCGTTCATCGCCCAGCGCTGGCTGCTCACGGCAGCGCATTGCGTGCACGAGAGCTTCGTGGGCGCCCATCGCAGACTGACCAGCGCCCGGCTGGGCGAGTGGAACACGACCAGCGACCCGGACTGCCTGACGGCCTGGAATGGCCAGCGGGAGTGTGCGCCGCGCCACATCCAAGCAAGCATCGATCGGCAGCTGGTGCACCCGCAGTTCGATGTGGCCAACTTGACCCACGACATCGCACTGCTGCGTCTCGCGCAGCCCGTCGACTGGAGCCAGCTGCCGCACGTGGAGCCAGTGTGCCTGCCGCCCGTGCGAGGCTCGCGCGCCGATCAGCTGGTGGGCAGCGCTGTGGACGTGTCCGGCTGGGGTCTGACTGAGCACGGCAACATCCCGAGCGAGGTCAAGCTCAAGGCCGTGCTCTACGTGCAGCCGCAGGAGCAGTGCCGCGTGTCCTTGCGCAAACACGACTACACGCTCTCCGACGGGCAGTTCTGCGCCTCGGGCGGCATTCACGTCGACTCCTGCTCCGGCGACTCGGGCGGTCCGCTCACCGTCGAGGCGTACACGCCCCAGAGGGACCGCTTCGTCTACCAGGCCGGCATCGTATCCTATGGCAAGAGGTATTGCGGAGCGTCCGACTTCCCAGGCGTCTACACCAGAGTCAGCAGCTACGTGGACTGGATCGAGCACACCATTGAGAGCAACAGCGACGCTGCTGCAGTAGCGCGCCCATAGGCGACAGTTGTCGTATCGCTTACTTTACTATTCTCATCAGCTCAATTCTTTATAGGGATACTCGTTCACAAAGCCACAGAAGCTTGACTTGACTCCAAATATAATTTTCGTTGCTTGATTATGTAAGGAAATTAAATATTGGATTTATCCATTGACTTTATGAACGAGCATTGCATAATCGGTTAAACCCGACTATTAGATTCATTGTATGTTTTCCGCAGCTTCAAAATTCTAAGATCGAAGTTCACAATAATTTCTAAATACAAGACTTGTATGAACTATGAAAGCCAATTGGGACACACTTATGCATATCCACTTGCACTTGGAGGGTCGGCTATACCCTACTACAATGCTTCTTATATTTTTTCCACACTTTCAAGATTCACAACTTTTGGTTTTTGTTCATTATGGTCCCAAGTTCTCACTATTGTCTGACGTATCATGCAAGCTATTTTCGACTGATTATTAGTACCAGCTCCAGTTTTCGTATTTCCAGACACAGGCCTGTCTATACATTTGTAAATATATAACATTTCGATAATTTGAATATGCAAATTTAATGCCGAAATATCATAGACGAACTGATTAAGTAAGCTCTTTTATAATCAATTTCAATGCCTTCAGTGAAAATTATGTCACCAACAGAAAACGAACCTAAAATGCGACTAAAAGTGGACATATTTTGATTTCTGCGCATTGCCGTTTGTCACGATTGATAGATCTAGAGATTGCGTAAAACACACACGACAGAGTGTAATTAACAGGAGTGTGACGTCATTAACTCGACTTACGGTTTACGGTCTGCGGTCTGCGGTCTGCGGGTTGTTAATATAACTCTATGCCCTTAATTATGAGCATATATTGATTGTCACGCAGAGAAAACATTCACGGATCGATCTTATCGGGCGACTTCATAAAATTTTTTAATTTGAATAGTTTTTCGTATAAAAGCTTTGAATGAAATTAGTTGTCCGGCTGGTGGAACACCTTCAATGTCGATAAGCCCTTAGCTAAACACCTTTTCTGTGTGGGGTCATTCCGTAGATAATGCCACAAGACAAATATGATAAATTTGATAAAGAAATTGTTTCATTTGTATATAAGCGATCCGAAAATAAGTTAATTCTATTCTTCAGCTGATTATATTAAGTAAAGTACTACCCGTTGTTATGGCATTGATGAGATCGAACCCTGTGTCCCTTGCACTTTTCATACGACCTAGTTTTAGTCATTGTCTTAGAAGAAAGTTTATGACTTAGATACGAGCTACGGTCAGTCAGCAAAGGGAAAGAACAAGCAAATCATCAGTTGATTGGCTGAAAACTGAAGATTATTCAATTTGATGGAAAGTTTTGATGACATCAGCGAGCTGCCAATCATAGTAGGGTAATATCTCGATGCCAAACATACGACAGTTTCATGTCATTCCCAGCACTGTTCATAAAACATATACATGGGCTTTTATTATTTTTACCCACTCATCATGTGCTAATAGAGGGTATACTTGGCACAAGCATGCACGCAGATAAAACGAAGAAAAGACTGACTCTTTGTCTATCGACAATAGTTTCACTTGGTTTTCAGGAAATTAAGTAAGACTACAAACTGGGTGCTCTGACATTAGTTTTGTTATTTATTAATCCAGTGAATCTTGTTCAATTTACAGAGATCGATTTTGTATGATCTTAATGGATTTACATTTAGAATCTTGATCTAAGAAAGATGAGACGGAATGATCATTATTTGGTATACACATATATAGACTTCGGCTTTCAGATGAGAGGGATGTGGCGTCATTAGTTTGATTAGATTACATGATCTCCGAGCCCTAACATTGGCAAACACTTGTAGTCTCTGAACCCTGATCGAGTCACTAATATCACTGTTCACAATCTTGTATAGAGTAGTTGTACAGTCGGATATAGCCCGGAAAAGTCCATATCTTTATGAGGTATAGGTGTCGTTTATTTGTCTACATGTTCGTTACATGCATTACACTGCTTACACTGTTAATACTATTGCGTGGATGTGCATAAATTAGAATATTCAATAAATACTAAAAACAAACATAGTATAATTACTACAGTACAATTATAATAAATTAAATCGTAAGTGCCTAGCGAATAAAAAAAAAAGTAACCCGAAGAAGACGACTCTTCTCTGCCCCAGCCGACGCTCACTTGTTTCGCGCAAAGATCACGGCGCGCCGACAGCGATCGCGATGATCGCGCATTTTACCCGCCGGACAGGGTCGCTTGACCCGACTGGAGATGAGCAGCTGGCCGGTTAGCGTCTTGCTGCGGGGACTGTAGAAGATAAGGCGACGTGCCTCTGTCGTTTGGCTGTACTGGCCGAGCAGCAGTATGAGAGCACATCCCAGGGCGAGAATCAGGCGTTGCAGTTGCATGTTGATCGGTGTGGCGGAATGGCGAGAGGGCAGAGTTCACTTGGTTTGGGCTTGGCGTTTGCTTTGGCTTTGCCTATTTTCGTTTTTGCTCGGACCGGGCGTGCGGGATTGTTTTCGACGCTGGGCTGACTGTGACTGCGTACGATCGTCGCTGTTGTGGCTGTAGTCGTAATTGTAGTCGACGCTGCTCTGTCGATGTTGTCAATATTTAATGCGCCGCTGTCAGATTAGATAAGGGCATTCCACACGATCCGCTCGCTGATAAGATAAGCAGGGCGAGCTCCTCTACATACCTGCAAGTGAAAACCACATTTGTTGCCCCTGGACTGTTACTGGCAGCGGCCAGTCGCTTCTATTTTTGTATCTTAGTAATGGGCTGCCGCCTGCCACTCACACCAGCACAACGTCTGTGACGAAAGCGTGCGGGAATTCACTCGGCGAATTCCACGACAATGCGTTGCGCTGCGTCCACAAATCGTTTACGTCATGGTCCGTGACACCCAACTTCCGGCCATATTCCCACTAAATTGTTGGCACAATTCCGAATCACGCCTGAAAATATACTGCAAAGCTTTGGAATCGAAAGCTTTGCAAGCGCCAGCCTCTCCCCGTCAGCTTCGTTTCTGCCATGTGTAACTAGAAATATGCTAATCAGATCTAAGGTCGGATATTAGCATAACCAAATATATTACTTATATTAAAAAATCGCAATAGATCGCACTCTGAACTAAATACTTACTTACTTAAATACTTGATAAATACAGAATACTAAAAGTGATCTTATTATATATCTGACGTTTTCACTCAACATATAAAACTCAAGCAGATCGCTGTTTGGAATATATAATAAATACAAAAATACTAAATAAATACTACCATTTTCTCATTGTATTTTCTTTTCAATTACACTCAAGTAGAATAGAACAGAGTGACAAAAAATATTAAGTACTAAAATACTAAATTACCTCTTAAGCATTCTGTTTTCATTGAAGTTTTTTTTACAGTTAAATGGTGCAATAGATCACAGCTTGGAATAAATACTAAATATGTACTCAAATTGTCTCATTATGTGGACGTTTTCAATTACACTCAGGTAAACTAGCGCAGATCACTGTTTGGAATAAATACTAAAGTAATAAATAAACACTTGAATAATCTGGTTCTACTGACATTTTCATTTACACTCAAAAAGAATACAACAGATTAGAGCTTGGAATAATTACTCAAATGCTATAAATACTCAAGGTGATGTCTTTATTTAACTAACGTTGTCAACCAGACTCAAATAGAATACAAGTAAGAACGTTGCCCTCGGGCGTTGCCGACTACAGAATAATCATTCACATCCCATCAGTAATTTAGTAGCTAAGTTTAACTCTACTTGTCACACCTCTACTGGGCGTAGAGACCTCATTTTTGGCCAGTACCTAGAACGATCTAACGGTAACCTAACTGCAAAATTTGGATGCCTAAATGGCGTGCAGACAAGGTAATTGCACAAATTTAATATACTCATTTCACTTTCGCGAATGAGTATAAAAACACTTTATAATTCCGACTAATTACTAACAATTAACTAATTGCTAAAACTAAATACTAATCTTATTATATATGGACAAGCAATATTTCACTTAGAATATTGATTCAATACTTAATCAGCACTTACAAGCGATAGCAACTGTCTCTTAATCGAGATATTAACTCTTCCATTTTATAAAATTTGGCCTTCATTTAAATCCAAACATCAATTTGTTTTAATATTCTGGGCAAAGTTTAATTGAAATAGCACATCGCATAATGAATGAATGGAAATCATAAAAGAATCTACAAATAGTTATATTCCTATTATAAACAAGTAAGAAAGCTCTAGTCGAGACTGCTCGACTACGAGATCCCCTGAA